CAGCTTGATCATACATACTTGATAATGCATGTGTTTATTGTTTCTGCTGTAATGCCAGCTGTATTGTTTATACTCTGAAGGAACCAATTTAGAACATAGAGAACATAGAATAATAGAGTTGGAAGGGTTAATGGCTTTTGGCAGCATGCCCAGGTTTTAATTAGTCTGGGTGGCTGCTCTTACTTGCTCTCTCAGCATTTGTTTTGGGATTTTGACTTTTTTTTTTTAAAAAAAAGGAGAATGACTGTTTTAAGTTTTTTTGCATTGGTTTAGTGGTTCCAAGCATGTCCTTTTGGGGCGTACTTCCCTCACTCTTTTTGAAAGTCTGTAGTGATGGAGCACCCACAACTTCTGAAGGCAAACTATTTCATTGATTGATTGGACTCACCCTTAGGAAATTTCTCCTTAGAGCTAGGTTGCTCCTTAGAGCTAGGTTGGTTAGTTTCCATTCAATGTTTTTTGTCATGCTTTTGGTGCTTTGGAAAATAGATTGAATCCCTCATTTTTATAGGGGCCCCTCAAATTTCCTGACAGAACAATTAATCGGTGTAACAACTTGCCTTCAGAAGTTGTAACCGCTCCAACACTGGAAGTTTTTAAGAAGAGATTGGTTAACCATTTGTCTAAAGTGGTGTAGGGTTTCCTTCCTAAGCAGGGGGTTAGACTAGAAGACTTCCAACGTACTTTCCAACTCTGTTATTCTAACCTAAATATTGTGCTATTTTATTCTGAATTGGAGAAATTTCCTAAGGGTGAAATTAATCAAGTTGGCCACACCCACCCAGTCAAATGATGACCCAGACATGCCCACCCAGCTAGTCAATGGGGCACAGAACTAGTTGTTCAGTTATTTGAATCCCACCATTGGATGGATAGGTAGGTAGGTAGGTAGGTAGGTAGGTAGGTAGATAAATGAAGAGATATACCAAGACAAAAAAGAGCATTCTCTCCCTCCTAGGACATGCTTACTTTTTTCAATTTAGAGTTTGGGTCAAAGCAATAAATTGTTACAAACCATAATTAGAAAACCATTCATGATACTAGTGAAAATCTACAGTAGTTTAGAACACAAAGTGCTTATTAGGTATTAGGTGTGAGGAATAATCTCTCAGAACAATACATGTGCCACCTGGTCAATTCTATAAAATAAATACAAAAAATTCTTAGAAATTTTTATGAGTGGTGTGGTGACCCAGAGAGGCTGTGAGTTTGATCCTAGGTAGAGGCAGATATATATCTCTGGGCTTGATGAGAATGTATCTATTGAATTTAACTCAACATTGGCATCTGGCCAGTAAACATTCAGCTCCATTCAGCTGTCCATCTTCCATCTTCCAAGGGATTATGGGGTCATTAAAAGAAGATGATTCTTAGAAATGTATATATTTGTAAAGTAGCCCAGAAATTAGCTCTTGACTTCAGGGTAAATTGTCCCAAATAGAATTAAGAGGAAAATCAGCTATGATTAATATTCTGACACTTCAAACTTATTTTCTGTTTCTTGTCAAACATTTCTATGTAAAACCTGGAAGAAAAGGCCACTCAGTTCATTGAATTATATATCTACTTATATTTATTTTTAGACATGGACAACTGTTTCCAATGCCCAGAAGATCAATTTCCACATGAGAGCAAAAATCAATGTATTGCCAAGATATTACATTTTCTCTCTTTTCTGCATCCTTTGGGGATTAGTTTAACATTTTTGGCTCTCTTTTTTGTTCTGCTCACAGTTTTGATACTAGGAATTTTCATCAAGAACCAGAACACTCCCATTGTCAAAGCCAACAACCGGGACCTCACCTACTGTCTGCTCATTTCCTTATTGCTTTGTTTTCTCAGTTCTTTGTTATTTATTGGCCAACCACAAATAGTGACTTGCTATTTACGACAAATTACTTTTGGTATCATCTTCACAGTGGCTGTTTCTTGTATATTAGCAAAAACAGTAACTGTAGTTCTAGCTTTTATGGCCACCAAACCAGGATCTAGGGTAAGGAAATGGGTTGGGAGAAGACTGACCATTATCATCCTGTTCAGTTGTTCCTTCATTCAGGCTTGCATTTGTGCTGTATGGCTGTTCACAGCTCCTCCTTTTCCAGAGTTCGATATGTATTCTCTTCATGGAGAAATTATAGTGCAATGCAATGAAGGATCACTTGGTATGTTTTATTCTGTCTTGGGCTACTTGGGATTTTTGGCTATTGTCAGCTTCACTGTGGCTTTCCTAGCCAGGAAGTTACCAGATACTTTCAATGAAGCCAAGTTCATCACTTTCAGCATGCTCGTCTTCTGCAGTGTTTGGCTGTCCTTCATTCCTTCATATCAGGGCACTAATGGCAAATATATGGTGGCTGTGGAGATCTTTTCTATCTTGGCATCTGGTGCTGGATTATTAAGCTGCATCTTTTTCCCTAAGTGTTACATCCTTATCCTAAAACCTGAACT